TCCCCATCCCGTCCCTTTCCTCCCCATGAGTTGCCTGTCTCTGCCACCTTTGTCCACCTACAGCTCCAGCACAGACAGGATTTGGGATCTTTAACTGCCCCCCCCTTCCGTGTCCCCAGCCCCATAAGTGGGTCCCATCCTGCTCCTTATCCCAGTGTACTGGGAGTCCTGGGAGCTGGCAGGGTTGGTGGTGCCAGCTCCTGCCAGGGGCTGGGCTGAGGTCCAGCACACTCAGCTCACTGGTGATAGAGGCATTGGGGGGAGCTCAGACAGGCCCCATCCTCATCCCAATCCTCTTCCCATCCCATCTCCATCCCATCCCATGGGACACTCATGACCAGACCCTGTCATGGGGGGGGGGGGGTATGTCACGGCCAGGGCACCCACATCTCGGGGTGGGGAGAAGAGCAAAAGCTTCAGGACACAGTGACTGGAGCCAGGATTCCTGGATCCTCCCCCCCCCCCCCCGCCCCAGTTCAGGGAAGGCAGAAGAGCGTTATCGCTCAGCGCCGGGCTGAATCCGGCAGCGCTGGCGTCCGGCTGCGTCCCCTGGCCCTGAGGCGCTGGCACTAACCTGGTTATCCACGATGGATGGCCACCATCACCTCCGCGCCGGGCAGGACCATCGCTCACCGCAGCCACCCCCCCCTCCTCAAAGCCCAGCTGGGGATATAAGGCGGGTTTGGGGGTGGACGGGCGCCGCTGCCGCAGCCCCTCGCCATGAGCACCTTGGCCGCCCTCCAGGAGGGCTACCAGCACTTCGACCCCCGCGCCTACCTGCAGAACAACTACCTGCCCCCCCGGGCCGACTTCTCCTCCGAGGAGTTCGTGGTGCCCTGGAAGCTGCGATGCCTGGCCGAGACCTTCGCCAGTGGTGAGTGGCCAGGTGGGGAAACTGAGGCACGGCGTGGGACGGCACCCACCCTGCCCACTCCCCACCCTGGCTTGACCCCAGGGTCTATCTCCCCTCTCCCGCCCCCCCTCCCAGGATGGCCCCCCCCCCCCATCTCCGGTTGCCCCCATCCACCCACCGGTGCCCAGCTCGGTGTGGGACCACCCCCCCGCAGTGTCCTGCTCCCCCTCCCCAGGTGAGATCCACGGGCGCACGCTGATCGACGTGGGCTCGGGTCCCACCATCTACCAGCTCCTGAGCGCCTGCGACCACTTCGAGGAGATCGTGGCCACCGACTACCTGGCGGTGAACCGGGAGGAGCTGGGGCGCTGGGTGCGGGGGGAGCCTGGCACCTTCGACTGGAGCCCCTTCATTCAGCACGTCTGCAAGATCGAGGGACGCGGGTAGGGCTGTGTGGGGCCGGGGGGGGGCAGAGGGGGTGGCACACGCAGGGGGACCCCAGGCAGTGGGTGCCCCCACGGTGGTGGGTGGTGCTGGGCTGGTCCCTGCGGATTCATGGCTGAGTGGCCCCACGGGATCACAGCCCCATATTCCTGCAGATGCTGGGCTGATCCCTGTGGGATTGTCCCCCCCACATCCCATGGGATCACAGCCCCACGTCCCTGTGGACACTGGGCTGATCCCTGCAGGAGCATGTCCCCGCATCCCAGGGGATCACAGCCCCATATTCCTGCAGAGGCTGGGCTGATCCCTGCAGGAGCATGTCCCCAGATCCCCTGGGCTCACAGCCCCACATCCCTGCGGATGCTGGGCTGATCCCTGCAGAATTATGCCTCCACAACCCTCACAGACATTGGTCTGATCCCTGCAGGATCCTGTCCCCATGTCCCTGTGGGTGCTGGGTTGATCCCCTGTGGAATCCCATCCCCACATCCCTACGGGTGCCAGCCCGATCCCCAGGGGATCCCGTCCCCCGCTGACGCCCACCTCCCCACAGGGAGCCCTGGCAGGAGAAAGAGCGTCGGCTGCGGGACCGCCTGCGCCGCATCCTGCCCATCGACGTCCACCGTCCGGACCCGCTGGGCGCCCCGTTGCGCCCGCCGGCCGACGCGTTGCTCTCCGCTTTCTGCTTGGAAGCCGTCAGCCCCGACCGCGCCGCCTTCGCCCGGGCGCTGGCACACGTGGGCTCGCTGCTGCGGCCGGGGGGCCACGCGCTGCTGCTGGGGGCTCTGGGGGAGTCCTTCTACCTGGCGGGGGCCGCCCGCCTGCCCGTGGTGCCGCTGGCGGAGGACGACGTCCGGACGGCGTTGACCGGCGCCGGCTTCGCCCTTCGCGACTTCCGATCCTACGCCATGCCGCCCGCCCTCCGCACCGGCGTAGACGACGTCGACGGCGTCTTCTTCGCCCACGCGCAGAAGCCGCTGGAGGCCTGAAGGACCCCCCCC